AGATTTATTATGCATTACAGATAGACCAGGCGAAGAGCCCGTGTTTAGGGATTCACTAATTGACTTGATTTTCAATCTAAACTCAAGTCAAGTGGTTTTTACGTCAAGTGCTTGAAAATTGAAGTAGATATTACTTGATAATTTATGTAATATAAATATTAGTAGTCTATAAATACCCAACGAAAATACTTCATAACAAATTACAGACAAAACAGTACATGTTGAACAAAATATTTTAATCATCGTATAACAAATTCTTCGAAGTTGAGTCATTTATTTTAACGGTGTTAACAAAGTTATAGCCCTTTAGAAGTTTGAGTACCGCCCTGTCTCAATAATAATATTATGTGCTCGTGTTTGACAACAACGGATATAATCCGCCTTATCGGTTCATCGCATCGGAAACAAAAAAGCGAAAGAAGTTGAAACGCTTATCACGATGTTTTTACTACAATTTTATTCGGTTGTATTCAGTCAATGTGTCAGTCGGTAACGCGTGAGTGAATAGTGGTGTTTGTTGCGTGTTGCTCAAACGAAATAAAAAATGGCACATGTTCACGAAAATGCTGAACTTGTGGACATGATTCTTATTTACGGCCGGGGGGAGGGGGGGCTTTACAAAATGCTGCCGCGGCATCACGGATGTATGCGGATCGGTTTCCCAATCGAGTGCAACCAACCCGTCGTACCTTTGTTAATGTAGTACAAAGGGCTCGTGAATCCGGTGACTTAACACCTCACAGGGGACGGCATGCCGGTCCTCCAAGACCGCACGATCAAATACAGGTCTGCACTGAAATCGGGAGGATACTTGATAAAACAAGGTAACATTTTTTTTTATTTTGACACACATATTTTGGTTTATCTTCCTTCTACAATCATTATCTGAAAATTAATGACTCAACTTCAAAGTCACCCTGTATAACAACCAGTAACTCGCCCCGAAGCCCACCAAATAACCAATTTTACTAAGTAACATATTTAAAAAGTATAAGTTATTTTTGACTTTAACATCAACCCAAATTTTTCACATTCCCACTACAGTCGTTTGCTTCCGAGAATATCTTCGACCAGTCCAGGGTAACATTATTTTTTACAGGGGCGGTATTTTTTTCGTGAATTATGAATGAAGGGAAAGCAGAAGGTGGGATGGGAGCAAAAAGAAATTTCCCGGGCATGATTTGGGAGGGCCACCAGATTAGGAGGTTATTAGAAAAGAAATCAAAGTGCCTCCGGGATTCTCATGATTCAATGAGACGAGGTGGGGTTCTTTTGAAACGGGAGTTAATTTCGCTTGGAAATGGGTCATAAAAATATGCATACTTTAATTGGGTGATATTTCAAGTTGGAAAAGGAATTCGACCTGGTTTCTTTGTAGGCCAAAAAATGTTTTCACTACAAAATTTGATCACTGCTTAATGATAATGATAGATGTCTTTATTGCTCTACAACAACACTGTGATCCAGCTAATGCAAGACTTATATATGGAAGCAAGATTTTAGGACAAACTGCATTGAAACAGGGTTGTTTCATACTGAGGTATGCTGATAATTTTATCTCTAAATGGTATAGAATGAATATTATTGTTAGATGAATTTCTTTTTTCGCAAGTAAGGCGATTTAGACGTAAGTAATAATTTATGGATGAAAAGTGAGTAGCGATATTCAACCAAATCACTTAATTTCAGCCAATTTAGTATTGGATATTTTTATAATATACTGAATTACAAAAAAAAGGAAACACCTACGTACAATGTTTATTAAAATTTAAGATTTTTTATAGATCGATTTATCTTGCCATGAACAACAAGTCAAAAAATGGTCAGGTTTTCTGTTAGGTTTTTGTGGTGACTGCGTGTACTGTTTGGTAATAAAGAAACATACAGTTTTCGTACGTTTACGTTGAACTTGAACTCGAAATTTAGTAGATATTTGTTTGCAATTAGAGTACGTAACCTCAGATAAGTTTTCTGCAATAAGGTTATGACAAAATTAAGTAGGATTTGATGACTTATTCAGACCTGCGAGAGTGGCGTTAAGGCGTCCTTGTTTTTTTGGGCGCAAAATAATAACATTTTAGACTTTTGAGCGTTGACAGCCAGATTATGATCGGACGTAAATTTTTTAAAACGTCTACAGTATTTTCGACATTCTGGGGATTAAAATAATGCAAACAGTGTGTATCTTTTGCGAAAGATTGGATATATGAATAATTAAGTCAAAGGTATATATCGGAAATAATAGCGGTCCTAACACAGAACCTTGAGGATCGCCTGAATTTCCATTTTGATGTCCTTTTAACAAGATAACTTTAGAAATATCTATGTGATCTAATTTAGATAGCTGTAATTTATGTAACTTTCTTGCCAAAAAAAACGCTCTAATAACTATTTTCAACAACAAAATGATAAACAAACCATGGGCGTAGTGAAGAAAAGCATTTACTTGTTAAGTAAAATCTTTTAGTCAAATTTCTTTTGAAAGTAGTACAAACTAATTTGATGTACCTATTAAAGTCTACTTTAAGCTTTAAATCAATAAATCTTCAAAACTTATGAACTGAAGCTCATGTATTGAAAGACTTTAAAATGAGGTATCACTGGACCCCCCTTTCCATTTGTTAACGTGATTTTTTACCAAACTTGTGTCCCCCTCGAAAACAAAATCGACGGGTCTGAGCGTTTTTCCAAAAAAAAAAAATACTAAGCTGCCAGTAAATGCGTTTGTTTCGTTTTCGATGCCACCCTGTATATAGATATTAACTTCGATGCAATTTTTTTCCTAACGTATTGTTTTCCAAATTGACAAGCGTTCTATTTTATTCGTAGCTGAGTAACTGTTTTTATATTGACAGCTTATTTCCCTACCGAACCGTTTTGCATGTATCGAAACATATTTCTTACCGCTTATTCTAAAGAACATGCCCGCAGAAGAAAATGTATGCGGTGAATAGAGAACAAGTTTACATGTCGTAAAACTGCAGCCGCAGGAGCGATTTTAAGAAGTTCTTATTAAGTTTGCGTATGCACAGAACGCGTGTTTCTGACAGTTCGAACATGTTCACCCAAACAAGGCACCGGGTAGATTTTTCCGATGCGGGAAGGAAAACCAGTTTCCCGACGATGAAAATCCGCGAATGTTTCCTTTTGCGAAACGTTCTCGTACGATGTACGTACGTTGATTCCTTTTGAGGAAGAGGTTCTTTGTTGCTAGACACGATTTAAGCACTGCGTACAGGCTTTTGTTTTTGGTGACATCGGGATGAGTATTACGGAAAGTATGGTTTTTAACGTTTACCGAAAATAATATTTATTCAAGAGAGAAAACAACATGCGTAAATAAATATAAGATAAAAACAGTTCCAATAGGAGGCTTTGTCTATGCGTGGAGCAATAATTTCAAGCTGTGACTGTAAAATACAGATTATCAAAAAAGGTCAAGAATATTCACAGTGGATTATGCATTTACCTGATGAACCTTTGCCTTAATTTCGTTATTTTTTTTTGTCAAATTGTAGGTAATTTCAAGGACGTCATTATCGTCTCGATCGATCTTGAAAAAAATTGAAAATGTTTGTTGTTCAAGTATTACGTAAGCAGATATATTACAATTATTTACCCCCCCCATCCCCCTTGTCAGCAAAACTAAGCATAGCTCTTACCCCCCCCCAATCTTACGTAAACATTTGTCAATTAATGTATTGTTTTTTTAATATTATAATTGTAACGTTACAATTATAATTTGAAAAATTAGAAAATAGATTTAGGATAGAGATTATATTTTACTGATACGCTATTCAACATAGAGTAAAGGACAAAAATATTATATCCTACTAACATAACCGGGCATGGAGATTCCTTTTACTGACGCTCATTTTCTGATCAGACAACGACTAAAGAATAAATGGAATAACCATTACAAAATCAGTCCAACAGGAAGTTACCTGAAGCGTATACAAGAGACTCTTCGAAGCAGACCTTGGTTTCAAGGAATTACCAATCGTCCTTACATTAGAACCGTGAGCAGAATAAGAAGTGGTCATGTCCTAACGACCCATCATAAATCAAGAATTGGATACGGAGATGATCCACTTTGCAGTTGTGGAAATATAGGAACCTTGCAACACTTAATATTAGAATGTACAAGTTCTAACAACGAACATTCTGAATTGTATAAAATTTTAGCGAATCACCTTCCTTTGCCTCTAAATTTAGAATCAATTCTCAGTTCTGAGAACCAGCAAGTTTACGAACTTTTATTCAAGCATTGTCGGAAAGTAGGCCTAACATTTTAAAATGTAAATTACAGTAAGTTTGAAAAAATGAAAAAAAGAAGAAAATATTGAAAAAAAAAACAAAAAAAGCAGATCAGTAAAAAAAACAATCATAAACAAAATAGAGAAAAGGAAAAAATAAGTAAAAAGTATTGGTTAAAAAAAAACAAAAAAAAAGAGAAATATGTGTTTGCATACTCTATGTGAGTATAATAGAAATAATATACAATAGTAATATTAAGTAATGGATGTTCTATTTTCTATTAAAGCATAGCATTATACTGAACATAAGGATCTGGCCAGTTGGTCATCGACCAGTGCCAATAACAGAACAAAAAAAAAATAACATAACAAACTTATTTTAAATGTTTGGTACATATATTAAATTCAAATTAAGTCTTCAGTCCATGAAACCCGAATCCATGATTCTAAGTTTTCGATGACATTGGACTGCTTCGATTGCTGCTCAGTGTTGTGAGTTTGCTCGCTTTCATCGGACTTTGGAATGTCTACGTCGTTCTCATCGAGCCATTCAACATCATGCTGCTCTAAATTATGAATAATGAACATCAGTTCAGTAGCACGACGAGCAGCGACTCTTACAGGTCTATCAGTGTGCGTGTTTACTTTTTTATGGATATTTTCGATGTGACGATTTAGTGACTTGACGGAAGCATGCTAAAGACCACACGTTTTGCATGTTCGACTTGATAGCCTCAATTTTACCGTAGGACAAAAATAATCGTAGGGCATTTGCAGGAAATCTTTGAGTGAAGCACTTAAGCGTAGAGCTAAATTGTCTGGAAGATTAAGAAACTGCCCTCCTTCATCCAAAACCAAGTCATCAACTGTTTGTTTTACTTTTATAGGTGGTGGAAGAAACATATTGTCTAGTAATCTAAATAGGCCACTTCTTGGACGACAGCATTCTGTATTTCTACATTTTACAATTTGAAGCAAGTATTGGCTCTTACGCACATGTTCTGAATACCATTTAATGTCTGGAAAATCAGGAAGACCTTGTTCACCTGTCCCAACATAAGTATTTTGCATTAACATTATAGCCATCAATTTCCATTGAACTCCATACTTCAGCTAATACATTTCCTGCAAATTCGAAATTAGATCTTTCTAAATGTTTATCAATTGTAACGCCACGTTCATCCAAATGAGACCCAAAATGGTCATGAGGCAATATTAAACCAGCCAGTTCCCGACTAAGAGGAGCCATTCTGCGCACTACTCTGTTATACGCACTTCTACCAGGAGCATTAGTAGCTAAAAATAATGCATCGAGATCATGTCACTTAAAGTGTTGTATACCCTATGACTTTTTGATAACATGGATTTTCATCTGGCCCTCCATCAACCGTCATGATTACCACTGGTTTAGTCCATGGTCAGTTTTAGCTAATGGTCGAAACTCTTCAAGTTCGAGAAGCGTCTCGAAATCCTGAGCATGAGTGTTAGCAGTAGATGAACTATGCTTTCCACTTCGAATAGCGATGTCCAGAATATCCAACGGCTTGCGGTTGTCCTAGCATATTGGAAGTGATTTTGATACCAGCATAATCAGATGGTATTAATTTATGACGCTCAGCGATTACCCAATCGTTCTATATTCCATGTGCATTAAAAGAGGTGCTTGCTTATTTGCCGCAGTTATGCCAATAGGGATTCGAGCTTTATCATCTTGAGATGTGCAAAAAAACCTGATCTCGTCCAAGTATGAATGGTATGTTCTCTAAATAATGGATTGATGTTTCAGCGAACTTGCTATCTAAGTGGCTCTTGTGGTGATCAGTTTGAGCCCGATTGAGCTTAACAGGGACTGTCGATACATGTCTTCGTCTCTCTGCAGATTTATATTTTCTGGGAATCAAACGAAGATATGTCCCACTGCGACTAATGTCAAATCCTATTTTTCGTAATTCTTGCGGGAGTTCATCAAGAGTTTTTACGCTGCGAATTGATTCCGTTCGTCTTCTATCATCTGCTGCACTGCCAAATAAAGCTATATCAGCGATTGTTTTCAATAGTGAATGTTGATTGCTTTCAAGATTAGGACGTCCAACTGAATCGCTGAGAGATAGTTTTTTTTTTATTTCTGGATTTTCATGACAAATATCTTGTAACTTTCTTTTCATACCATGCCTGTGTTTCTTCTGGCCAACTGCGTTTTGAACCTTCCTATTTAAAGTCTGTTTTGCTGTTTTTATTTCCTCGCGCAACTTAATGATCTGTTTATCAACTTCAGCACGGCTTGGCATAGTTTCTCTGGAAGAATACAAAGCATTCAGATTTTTTTCGAGTAGAGCAATTTTATTTTTCATAGCTTCCTGAGAAGGTTTTGCTCACTGTTTATCTGTATTTTCATTAATTTCGCATTGCTGTTGTGATTCATTACCGGGTTTTATTTTATCTTCTTCCTCTTTTTAATATTTGAAGCTGACTGTATAATTTGTGTTTTTTCTGCAGGTTTACAGGTTGCCTAAAAATAAAAACTTTCTATGGTTTCTGCTAAAGATTCTTTTATTAAGCTACATAAATACAAAGTATGGCAATATATATGGTGAATACAAAAAACTATGGCTTTAAATCTAATATGTTTAAACGAGCAATTCGTTCCGGTCACAAAATACAGGGTGTTAGTTGTCTGTACATATGTATAAAACTAACATCCTGTACTTTGTGACCAATTGGCGGAATCAATCATAAGAAATAAATCTATAATATAATGAATATTACCTCTATACTTTGAGATTTCTAATATTTCTATTACTCATAGGTGCCTAAAATGATTTCGTCACTCACCTTAGAAAAAAAATTTAGTAGATTGGATTTATTCTTAGTCGCCGCTTGCAATAATTCTTCTTCGATTCTCTTAGTTACAATAATATCTAGTTCCTTGTCGGATTTTGCTTGTAATTTGTAATTTCGCCACACTTCGTTAACTAACTTTTGTACATTTTGTACTTTCGTACATGTATGAGATTTTTTAAAACTTTCAAACAATTTGTGGTATAACTTTGATTTGTCTATGTGAAACGACATCCTATTTAAACATTAAACTTTGGCTAATCGAATCAATGGTAACACAAATGTTAACTTGCTTTACTATGCTTACAATACGTCTACTCGCAATGGTATCCAAACGAAACAATACACTGATACAGGAAATTTAGACAAGTGCGGTAATTCCCCTACTCGGTTCTAAAGCGAGTAGGGGAATTACCGCGCGCTGTTCACTAAACGCATGCATTATTTGCGCGAATCCCCGAAAATGCGTTTCGTTTTCAAGCAAAGACAATGTGAGGGTTGGCATTCGTGTAAAAAAGTAAATAACTACTGATGACGTAATCATCATCTAGACTCCCCTACCGTCATGTCATCCAAAATAAGCAAAGCAAAGTCTGTTTGAAACAACTTCTTGTTTATTTTCTTCAAAATAGCATATATTCTTCAATAATTGAGATATTGACATAAATCAAAAAAAGATCTGTTGAGAAAAGTTCAGGTTTGAAATTCTCATACGAAGACACATCATTCAGTAATCCAAAGTTTCCACAGGGTGTTCAGAAACTTAGGCCAAAATGAACACCCTCAATAACAAGAAATATTTTCATTTTTTTTCAATATCGACAGTCGATAATGATAACAATGAAATTACCTACAACTTGAAAAATTAACGAAATTGATGCAAAGTTTAAAAAGTTATTTAAAATTTAATTTGAACAAAATTTTGTTTTTCCGCTTAATTTTGCGTGGCAGTGTAAGAATTTTAGCTTCAAATTTTGTAATATTGTGACAAAGCCATACGTATATTTGGTCTGTGGGACAAAGCTTGTTTTTTGAACACTTTTTTATTAAGAAGTGAATAACATATGAATAAAGTATGCCGTCTTGAAACTGCAACAGCTTGCATGCAATTATATTGCGGACTGTCAAACGGTTCCAAGACGCATGATCGCGACATCCTAAAGGGCACATCATCGGGCACAAAAATATGTGCGTGCAACCGTTTCGTTGTTACGAATTAAAAGCGGAATAAAATGAATGCGCGTAGTCGCAATCGCCGTTCGCGACAAAAGAAAAATAATTACCGCCCATTTCCACTAGTGGCTGTTGCATGAAAAGCCCCGTTTTTCCGCGGAAAATGGAGGAAAACGCGCCTGAAGGCAGAAGGGCATTTGCATCCAACGGATCGCTTTCCATTAAGGCCTTGCCTACAAATTCGTTCGAAAATGCGCGGCAAGCCATGGATACTTTTCAAATATTTTCCTAACGACGGTACGAAACTTCAAAAGGTGACTCGTTGGGTAGTTTTAAGGAAAAAGTTCGTATGAACATGAATTGCTTCGTTTCTCAGATGCAGTATTCTTGAACGTGTCAGACACTCAGTAACAACTCGATTGCAGTCGCGTATTTTTTCAGAAGGTGGAATATGCTCATTCACTATACTATAACTATCTAAAACTGTAATGACTCATCGATGTTCGCGTGAACATCACTTAACTACCAATAGTCGGCTGTTCATAGGCGGGGTATGAATGTTTAACATGGGTGAACTAGATTTCTCCCATGCTTAATAAAGAGTGGTTTGAAACATATTGTAAGTCAAAAATTTGGGAATTACCTTTATTCATCGTCGCTTCCACTTACATCTGACAGTAATAAACTGTCGCTATCGCTTTCCTCGTTGAAATTGACTATAACTGGCTCTATGATGGTGTCGATGTGGTGGTCAAGCTACCACATTTTTGTTTCTTCCTTCACAACATGACGGATAGCATTCTGCCAAGCTTCGGGCGTTACTAGCTGTATGGAAGTCTCAAGTAAAACCTTAACGTCTGGTTTGAAGGTTGTGTTATGGCGCGCAATATAACCCTTCACTTGAGCCCAGATGAGCTCTATTGGGTTCAGTTCACAGTGGTAGGGCGGTAACCGCAGCACAGTGACACCACATTGACGGGCCATCTCATCAGTCACGTAACTAATGTTCGCAGGTTTATGCTGTTTAATTTTTTCATACAATTCCGCTTTCACACATGAATCGTCAAACGGGATTCCTTTTTCGCGCAACCATTGCTGCATGTCACTTTTTCGAGATCCCATAGTCGGTACACGTTCGGCTCGACGACTATGGTAGGAAGCATTATCCATGACGATCACAGAGTTGGGCTCAACTCGCAGAAGCACCCCTTGAAACCAGCTCTCGAAGCAGCTGGCATTCATTTCGTCATTGTAATCACCTCCTTTCTTAGAGACGAAAATCAAGTCACACTCTTCTAAAAAGCCACTATCGCTACCAATATGAGTTACGATCAATCTTTGACCTTTTCCTGACCGTCCACGAAGACCTGTTGACAAACCTTCAATGCTTGCTTGTCGGTTACACACTACGTTTTTGTCTATCCAGGTTTTTTTAACTGTGTGACCTGCATTTACCCATGTCTCGTCCAAATAATAGATTTTTCTGCTTTGTCGCCTATATTCAACCATTTCGCGTAGGTATTTTCGACGCCAGGCGACTATTTCAGGTCTCTCTATCAATACTGACTTCCGATTACGCGTTTCGTAACGAAAATTAATTTCTTGCAGGGATTTCCTCATTACCTCGACGCTCATTTGGGGTATAATTTCATTTTCCTTGATCGCTGCATGTACAGCCTTGAGGGTTGGTATCTCATTCCTAAAGAAGAATGAATGTACGGTTCGCCTTAACGCCATTTTGCTATCGTCATCCAATTTAACGGCCTTTCGTCCCTTCAAATTAAACTTTGGATCATTAGTAGCTCCAGTTTTCTTCTTTTCACAACAATAAGAATCACACAACAATTCTTATAAAAACATACAATATGCGATCGCTCAACGAAACACGTTCCAATGCGTTGCCGACGCCTATGAGTCATTACAGTTTTAAATAGTTGTAGTATAGGGTCTAAATTGTTGATTTTTTATTTTTGATTATTTATGTGTTCCCGGATAGTTTTTACAACGAATTGAAGTAGTTTTTATTTATTTTTTTCTTCACTAAATCGAAGCTAGTTATGAAGAAAACAC